GTCCTTCTTCGAGATGATGCAGATTCAGAACCTCTAAGCCATTTTGCAGAAACCCCCATTCTCTATTTTGGAATATGTTTATATCATGGGCTAGGTTGCAGTCCGTGTAAAAGTACATGTAAAAGTAGGGGAAATTTGGCTTCCATGTTGCCTAGTATTTCGGATAGCCCCCTTTCTGGACAGCTGAGTGCTCTTTGACTCCGGAAACTAGGGAAGGATCTGGAAAGCCCTTCATAAGCAGTATTGAGAGGTTCCACATCTGTGCCTTAAAAGGGTGAATTAGTGGTTACAAAGAAAGAAGGAAATCAAAGGATTTATCAGGAGAAAATGACAACTGAGAAGCTTGGGGTGTGGGAGCTGCTCTTGGAACCCCTGAGACTCAAGACCTGTTTCTCACTCTCCACTAGTTACCCAGACACTAGACAAGAAAGGGCTAGCTGAAGGCCACTGTGACCTAATTTTCCCTTCTCAGTCAGTTTTGGACTTTGGACTAGATGATACCCCATTTCTGTATGGATGTTGTGACTCAGAGGGGCTCTGATCTCTCTTTTTGAATTTTGGTTTTCTCCCCCTATAAAAGTGTGGTAAAAATGCTTATCCCCAGCCAGACAAATATTAGAGTGGGTGTACAAAAAAAATTACAGCTATTAATATTATAGTCTACTGTCTCCAAACTGCTTTCAAAGGATACATTTCTGGTGGAGCTTATTTCTAATTGACAGACATTTCAATCTTTAAGTAAAATCTATAGTATTCAATTTTTAAGTACAAATATATATCAACTAAAATCTATGTGTTTTAGAGAAAAATTTGGCAGGAAAGTGGGATCAAGTGTGCTGGAGGAATGGAGGGAACCAGGTGGTGGAGTTCTAGGCAGACTGCCACTCTACAAAGAGAAAACTTAATTGAGTCTGTACTGTCTTTAACTTTATTTCCTTAACTGTAAACTGGAGAAAAGAGCCTTTGCCTTGTATCCACATGCCTGAGAAGCTTTCTCCTCTGTTGGGATGCCGGGATTAACAAGCAAGGGTCAGAGTGTGGCCACTGAAAACTCATCTTAGGGGGTACGACATGAGGAGAGACAAAAGAAATAGTCTTCCCATCCTCTCTCTCTTCTGCCCACTCTTCAATCTTCTCCCCCTTCCGTCCATGTTAGATGTTGTCCTTGGAAATCAGAGTCACCCCAAGACAAAGTCACCCCAAGGCAAAGGGAGGGGACTGTTCAGCTGGAGACTTTGCACCCACAATGGCTGACCCACCCTGCCCCCTAATGGCGCTCCCTTCATCTGTGCATGTCAGCTCCCAGGGACCACAGATTGGGCTTAAGTTGATGACAAGTGAATGCTTGGTCCTGGGCTATCTGTACTTAGTGTATTATATAAATAATAAACACTAATAACTCACTTCATCCCTCACAATTTCCCCATCCATTTCCTGGCCATTTCTGGAACTTTCATCACAAGGCAGATTGTGTCATTGACTTTTATTGCCGGCTGCTCATGCAGGGTGAGAAATCGTTGTTGCCTTCTAACTAGCTTGCTTCATTTTTTCTCTCATTGAAAAGTTATTCTAATTCAACTTCAATTTCCAGCCACCAGAAAGTATTTGAATAAGTCATCCTCCATCCATTTGATAAAATTGTACCACCGTTAAGAATCATGATTTTGAAAGCTATTCAACAATACAGGAGCGATGCCCATATCATAATGTCAGGTGAAAAAGCAATGTAGAAAAGCGTGTGTCAGGCACGCCAATGCCGCCCTTGCACGTCTATGAAGATTTACACATGCGCATTGAAGAGACGCAAGAAAATTCTTGAGACGTCAATTCTCCATGTACTGGTTGTGGGTGATTTTTATTTTCTGCAGTTTTCAAATCTTCCACATTGTCCTTTTAGAATCGGGGCCGGGGTAAACACCTGTTTCTCTTTATTTAACAAACCATTTTCAAATAACATTTTAATGAAATGTGATGGCTGTTTTGTTTTTTGTTTGTTTAGAACATTTCAACTTGTTCAAATACATGCAGCAATAAAAAAACACCAGCACCAGCATCGCCTGGCAGCTGCCAAACATGATATCAGAGAGAGGTGGAAGTGGTAATGTCTGGAAATCCACCGGGTAACGCTAACTCTGGCTAAGCAGCCCCTCTTCAGACTCTTTGATTTGCTTTATTTGCCCCTCTGATTATGAAGAATTCTATCTGCACACATGCATAGCCCTATATACACAGACATATGAAGGGTGTTTTCTGTTTTTAGATGTACATCCACCTAAGAAATTACCCCATGAAAGCCCCATCACTCACAGAAACTATTGCAGGGGAGGAGGGAGGCATTTTTATTTAGTTAATTTTTAACAAATTTCAAATGTTACCCACATCTCCTGAAGCCCAGAGGAAGGATAATCAAGTCAAGCCCCATTGACTAGGAGAATAGTGAACTGTGGAAAATGACTTCTCAGCAGTGCCCAAGGCGACCGCTCCATTTAAATAACAGGCTCATTATTCAGATGTTCGGCTTCTTTACTAGGGTTGTGGCCTGGCCTGTGGCTGTTCCAGCTTCTGGGGGCTCTGCAGCCTCTAACTGTCCATGTGCAAGGACATTCCAGGTATCACAGTGGTGGATCCTCAGAGTAGCACTGAGGGATGTGAGCAACTATTCTCATTTTACAGACAGGAAAACCAAGACTTTGGTGGATGGTGTGGCTTGCTGGGATCACGCTGCCAAGCAAAGATAATTGTACCCAGCTGTCCTCACTCCAAGACTGTTGCCATTTCTAATATCGGAAAACATCTCATAAACCAGAAGTTGCTTCATTTTGTCCATCTGGAGAAAATGCTGATTCTGATCAGCTAGCCTATGTTAAGATGGATATTTTAAAAAACACTGCAGACAAAAATAATAACAATTTAGAAAGAGACAGATTTCTGGGGTTGGGGGGGATGGAGAAGGACAAAATATCAAACAGACTGCAGATTCTGAAATGTTGAGAACTTACTCAGAGTGGCACCTAACTTTTTGCACATTTAAGGAAAGGTAAAATTCAGTGACAGAGTAAGAAAGGAAAACAATCAAAATGAACAAAAGGCTATTTCTTTTTATTGAGCACCTACTATATGCTATGCTTTATTCTGAGCTCTTTACATGAAGTCTTTAACTGGAGTGTGTCCACATAACTCTGTCTATCCTGCCAGCATTTGAATTTATAATCCTTGTCTAAGGTGACATCAATCAAGAATCTTCTTTGATTCTGTTGACACTGTTATGTTACTGGCTAGGTGTATCTAATTTCTAATAGGACTTCAGCTGCAAAGCTCAGACCCACCAAAGCTGGGGCTCATTCTATCCTGAAAGGCTGGCACCCCAAAGAGCAAACCTAAGGCTGAAATGGTTGTCTTTAGCTATTTTTTTTTAAAGATTTATTTATTTGTGCATACAGAACTGGGGTGCAGGCCAAAAGTGCAGGGGTAGTGAGAGGATTCACCAGACACAGAGTGGGGAGCAGAATAGGCAGATCGACGAAGTACACTGAGTACACTGTAGCAGGCAGGTCAGGAGAGGTCTGCCACGCCATGTGGTCGCCTCCGGGGCCGGCGGGGTTCGAACTCATGCTGAAGTGACTTCAGCTTCTCAGTGTTGTGCTTTTACCTGCTGCACCACCAGGGAAGGCCATTGTTAGCTATTTTTAAAATTAATTTGTAAGTCTGTAGAGTCTGGGCACATGCAGTGTTGGTATGATGGATAAAACTTTGTCCCTGGGTCTCAAGGAGTTCACAGTTGAGCCAAGATGCAATCTAGTAAAGAAATCACTGCAATGGAGCATGAAATCTGGGTAGAGGTTACAGATGGAGAACTACAGGCGATGAGGCTGAAGATATAGCCAAGATTCAGATCACACCAGATCTTGCTGACCCTTCAAAATCACAGATTTCTCCTGCAAACGAGTGAGGATTCTTTGATTGAAAGTTCTCACTATGGAAATGACTTGTCCTACTCTAAACCCATCTTCTTTTTGTAACTCGTGGATTAGTTTTCAAAAGCAATGGAAGGGGACTTAGATCCATTGTAGCAAACAAATTCATCTGATGCACCATCTCTTATCAGAAAAGGTAGAAGTTGTGTGCAGGATTCTGAAACCAAATCTAGGCTCAATCAAGCCATCATTCATAGTATCTGCTATAGGTAAAGAAAGGGAAATTGGTGGCTTCCTATTTGTCCCCCAAATAGTTCAACTATCATCTTTCTCAAAGGAGGAAATTTATTTGCACAAGGTCACACAGCCAGTGGTAGCTGAGTCAGGTCGCATCCCCAGGTCACAGCAGATGGCTCATTCCTGACCCCTCAGTGTGACCCCTCCTTGCCCCCCACCCCTCACTTTGAGCATATAGAGCTGGAAGCCTGCTTCCCAGGGCAACCAGACTCCTACCTCACTGGATATCGACTACTCACCCAGACAGTGCGCTTCTGTTAGCTGAGGTGATGTAACAAACCACCTCAAACTTAATGGCTAAAATTCGTTTACTCTTATCACTCATGACTCTGTGAGCTGGTGGGCCTCAGTTGGCCCTTTTGGCTGATTAGACTTGAGGGGCCTCGCCCAGTTGCAGTCAGATGGTGGGTAGGGGCTGGAGTTACGTGGAGACTCGCCTGGCTTGGAATGTAAGATGACTTCTTCAGCACATGTCTAGTCCCTGTGCTCTTCCTGGGACTCTTCTCTCCTCTGGTCGTCATCCTCCAGAGCCCGTGCAGGTAGACTCTGGCAGGGGAAAGGGCTTCGGACATGATGGGCGGCTTCCAAGAGGACATAAGTGGAAGCCACAGGCCCTCTGCAGGCCTCGAACAGGTCCAGCACCATTTCTGCCGACCGGGCCAAGGAGTCACAGGTGTGATCAGATAACCGAGAAGGTGGAGGGTTCTCCTGAGGGTATGAACACTAGGCTCCCTATCCTAAGGGTCAGTATGAGGAAACTTCTTATTGTGAAAGCAATAAGAAGCCGGCATGATTCTCAGTTGCTCCACCCGTAGGCAGGCTGTCCAGTTCCGGGCTCTTCAGGATGCTTGTTTCCAGACAACGATGGGAGGAAACAATGCTCAAGCCTGGGCAGTGACCGTTTCCTGCCACTGCCTTTCCTCCATGCCTCCTCCAGACTCCTCTGGGGAGCTCCTTGCTGGTGGTGTTCGAAGGGTGAAGACTTTAAGCAGCCGTCAGACTGTGATCGGCAATTGGACCCACCACACTTCAAAAGCAACTCTGCTGACATTCCAGGATATTGAGACTTACACACGCGTGCATGTGCACCCCCACCCCCCCCC